GCATTACCATAAAAAGACATGTTAGAGAAGATAAGGTGTACGATTTTCTCTTGTATATATATTTTTTTATTTATCATAGTGAATCACTAAAGTAATGAAAGACAATGTAATCCCATATTACCTCTATAAATTTAACATCTTCTTTTATTTATTTTTTCAAGTGATTTTATTGCTCTTGATAGTAGAATTAGGGTTTCTAATCCTCAACATAGGCGACTTTAGTCTGCAGAAGCTAACTTTACACTTTTACCATGACTAGTTTGCATCTACATTGGTTAATTAGTTGTAGTTACGATATTCGATAAATGTGTAATGTCCCATATAAATTAATAGAGATTGTGGAGATTTTTTATCGCCTTGATTGAGGGAACTCTACTTAATTTTCTTTTGATTATTTTCCATTGGCTTATCAAAATTTATGAGATGAGTCCTACTATAAAATGTTGCCCACTGAACAGAAGGAGCCTAAAATATTAAGAAAAATGCTAAGTGTACATAACTCTCACATGGGGTGGAGTCCACAAAAAAGTGGGCTCCACCCCATGTGAGGGTTATGGACACCTCTATATACAATAATTATGTACATCAAGCAATGCTAAAATATTAATGGGAGATTGACGCATGACTCAATTGTACCACGAAATGAAGAGCATAAAAAGATTAGAGAAGTGCTATGTGTATACAATAGTTTACACAATTTTTTACACCTCCCTCATATGGAAAGGGTTCACATACAATAAAATATTTGTGAGCCCCCTTCATGTGAGGGGGTGTAAAAGATTGTGTACACTTATAGAATGATCCAAAATATTAATAATATGATGATTTGCTGATATTGCATGTGAAATTTGTGGGCCACTTTTTTAAATGGTCTAAATTACTATCCGTTTTGTTACTGATGTGAAAGTTAACTATTTAAGAAACCACAAACTTTCTCGATGAAATAATGAGGTAGGGTACATATATAGAGACCCTTCTAGTGTGACTAGTCGAAACTTTTACATATTTTTTTTCCAAAAAAAAAAAAAACACGTGTTATATTTTATCGAGTAGATGACATTTGCATATTAGTACAAGTTTCTATTATAAATTCCAATTATGTATTTTGAGTATATTGGTTGGACATTCCAACAATGACGAAGCAAAATATTTTTCATTCAAGGGTCAAAACGTAGTTAATATTTTTTTTTTTCAAAACAACGTAGCACTAACTATGGGTTGAGACTTGAGATTAGAGTAGATGTGGTCCAATGGCTAAATACTTGCTGCTGCTGCTGCATGCATCAACGAGCAAAGCAGTAGCGGATGTTAGATTTTGATATAATTGACTAATCTTAGATATCGAGGAGCAAAAAGAAATTAATTGATTTCAAATTTAGACATTCTAAGGAAAAGTCATGAGTGCCCGAAAGAGGGAATGAGTAAAAATTCAATTTTTTGTAGAAATTAAAAAGAAAAAAAATTAGAAGAGCAAAATTTTATTGGTCAATAGACCCTCATGACATCATGTGGCTCAATAGCGGCGTACAAACGTCTCGACAATTTAATTATCATATGTATTGTCACATAAAAATGATAACATCAACGTAAAATAGACAATTAATTAATAATTTCATTTCAAGTCCAACATTTAAATTCTTGAGAAAAGTACCTACTAAATAAGAACATCCTAATAAATAATGTTACACCTATTAGAGAGTTGTTATATAGATCAATTGATGATGAGATATCCCAATGAACTATAAGTTGGGTAAAGAGTGAGTTGGACATGAAAGTGACAACCCAACAACCTACCACCACCATCATCATTTTTTAGGCATGGAAGGAAGTGACCACGCTTGGGCATAATTCCATATGGACTTTGTCCTTAACGTGCATGTGTATACTTTAAAAAACTTAGAATCCAAGGCTTGAGGCAAATTGCAAAGGTTCCCCACAACTTTTGAATTTTCTCCTATGTTTGTTCTTGTTTGCGTTTTTTCTTTTTTCTAAATTTGTTGGGTTTTTGGTAATGTACCAATCGTTCTATAAAATTGATATAGATTGTGTTTGAGTACATAAATTATTGTGTAACATAGAACATTAGTGAAATGCAAGTGACTATATAATGATAGTTCGAAATTGAGAACCAATGTAGCCCTCAGAACTAAATTCTTATTTAAACCATGGAATATCAGCGAAGTGCGAACAAGTGGAATTTACTTATAATCAATAAACATCATACAAGAAAAAAAGAAGCAATGTGAGTCATCGTGGATTCCATGTTTCTCAAGTTTTTATCTAATACTATATCGCTCCAAAGTCCACGTAGTTGTTACTATAAATTCAAATATTTTCAAATTATTTAAGAACAAAGAATTATAAATGTTCAACTACTTACAAAATTAACTTGAAAGTCTAGCATGAAAGTCTATAAAGATTCTTACTTTAGAAAATGTGCGAGTTAATCTATCTATCCATAAAAAGTAAAACGGGCAGAAATCTAAACTCACTTGTACCTTGAATTAGCCATAAATAAACTAATGCATGCAAGTAAAAAGCAAAAAAATATAGAAGAAAAAAAGTGACTTAAAGCAAAAAGTATGAAGCTATAAAGCTTTGGGTGCAGCCTTACCAAAAACACAATGAGATAGAACAAAGAGAATTCCTATCTAAAGAGCAATGCTATTGTTAATTCATATAGAAACATAAAGGGAGATTCCTTGTTTTTGTTGCTTTTTTGTAGGTTAAATAATATACTTTGCTCTTTTATTACTTATTATCCATCACTATTAGATACCAAATTAATACTTTACTTCAACTGCACAACTTATTCTTTACACTAACACCTTGTTCGATAAAATTTCGTTAAAGTTTTATCAACTTTTCATTTGATCACACTTCAATTTTAACCACAAATTTCATGGATTCCACAATTTTTATCGAATAACGTTTTGCGTATGTATCGAGTGATTTATCGAGAGCGAATAACTTTTTACGTATGTATCGAGTGATTTCTCAGAATGATGCCTCTTAAATATGTTATATGTGAGAGTCCCATTTAAACCTTTTGTTCGATAAAATTTCGTTAAAGTTGTATCAACTTTTCATTTGACCACACTTCAATTTTAACCACAAATTTCATGGGTTCCACAATTTTTATCGAATAACTTTTTGCGTATGTATCGAGTGATTTATCGAGTACAAATAACTTTTTACGTATGTATCGAGTGATTTATCAGAATGGTGCCTCTTAAATATGTTATATGTGAGAGTCCCATTTAAACCTTTTGTTCGATAAAATTTCGTTAAAGTTGTATCAACTTTTCATTTGACCACACTTCAATTTTAACCACAAATTTCATGGGTTCCACAATTTTTATCGAATAACTTTTTGCGTATGTATCGAGTGATTTATCGAGTACAAATAACTTTTTACGTATGTATCGAGTGATTTATCAGAATGGTGCCTCTTAAATATGTTATATGTGAGAGTCCCATCTAAACCTTTTGTTTTATTTATTATTATATCGAGTGATTTATCAGAATGGTGCCTCTTAAATATGTTATATGTGAGAGTCCCATGTAAACCTTTTGTTTTATTTATTATTATTTTCACTTATTTACTTTGTGTAAAAATTACTTTTAACGTTTGCTTTAAAGATGCCCATCCACATAGCAAAGTAAAAGTCATTTACCATTACAATCTTGATATCAAAAGCCCTAACTATTTTCTCTATTAAACAAAGGAAAGAGGACGTTGATTTTTGATTTTACATAAAGTCAACCTTTATTAAGAGAAATCATGAACCTTTATTAATTCTAAAGTATAATAATGATTTAATTTGTTTATTATTGCTCTTATTTTTACTATCTCAACGTCTTTATGTACGACGTGTTCACTAAGGACCCGTTTGGGGATGATTTTACTATGTAGATTTTTACTTATAAGTAAATTTACTTGAAAGTAACTTTTTTAAGCTTAAACTGTGGGGGCAAATTTGTAAAAGCTGCATTTGTAGGTGAAAGTCTGCATGTCCCACGAACCCGAAACACGTGGATAACGGATAAGGCTTTACTAATAATACATATAACTTTCATTCTCAGCCGTCAGTTTTAATCACATAGAGTTGAACCAATTCTTATCCAACGGTGGAAGCCGAAAAAGATTTGAGCACAAAACATTTCTACGTTTGATCTTCACTGTGCAAAACGTCAATTTTTTGCATTTTCATCCATATTTCCACATTTTGTTGCGAAAACCTCATTTTCCTCAATTTTCGTCCATTTTCTCTATAAAAATACGTAAAATGACAAATATAGCATCTTATTTAAGAATAAAATAAAAAGAAAAAATAATAATAAAGAACTAATTGCAACCATATGCACAAATTTTTCAAAAATTACAAATGAATCTCAAATAAATAATTAAAAATCAAAAACAACTTCATCATATTCCCCCATCCCACCCCCAACAAAAAAATAAAAATAAATAAAAAATGGAACAAATAGAACTGAAGGCCTCCATCTAGCCAACCACCACCCAACCCCCAAACACTTTCCCATAAATCAATTGAACAAATAACATATTTATATGGTGAAAATCAACAAAAGATGCAATTGGTCATGCGGACACATGCTGTCTTTCTCCTTCGATTGTGACGCAGGCAGTGGTTCCCACCATCGTGGACCACACATTCCTGCTTACCACATCACGTCACACCTGTTACAAGAATGGGCTTCTGAAAATTTCTTGAGTTTGTGAAGTTTTTCGAGGAAAATCGATCATGAAAATGGCTACACAAGCCATCTGAAAAAGAAAGACTACCCCCCTTTGAAAAACACAGAAAACCAAATTCAAGAAAAACTGAGATTTATTAAATATATATCCACCAATGAATTTATCCAAAAAAAAAAATTGATATGTTTGCTCCTTCATGTTGTTGGCAACATTCACCCGTTTCTTTGGAACAAATCAATCACAAATGAAGTGAAACCCAGCTACATGAACCATGAGAAAAATGAAAATCAAGGGGGAGCCAAATCCTAAATTAAAGTATATTGCTAAGGAGAGCAAATTATTTAGGTTTATAAAATAAAGTAAAGGTTGGACCAAAGTTTTTAAAAGAATATTTTTATAAAAGTCATAAATGGTTGCCCACAAGTGATACTAAAGTATTCTGTGTTCAAATGGTGAATAACTTATTATTTTTCATAGAAGTCCATGTTCAATTCCCTTGAACCCAAAAATTTTGTAAGAGGATATCAAAACTCAATCAAATCGGTCAATTGGTCCAGGCAAATCATCGATTAACTCGGTCAAAACCCGATTTTGATCGAGTCAAGTACATTTCTATTAAACTAATATGTCCTGCCCGATCAAGTGTCTGAGCCATCGATTTTCCAGTCTGACTGGCGGGTCGGGTCAAGTTTTATAACTATGAGTCCACCAACCAAAAAAATAGCATCAACAAACTGTTGAGCCTCCGAGCTATTGCTGCAAGTAGATGCAACCACGGTCAGATGACTAACTTCGGCATCCAAGGAGTGCTACATCTTCATGTTCTCCACCGTCACGACAACGGATTTTGTCAAAAAGAAACAAAAATAATACAAATTTTTCCAAGTTTAGGAAATTATTATCTATGTTTTGAGGATGGGAGAAGATGATGAAGTTATTTTTGTTTTTTATTTTGATTTTTAATTACTTGATTGAGACTCGTTTGTAATTTTTGAAAAATTTAGACCTATAGTTGTAATTTTTATTATTATTTAAATAAGAGGGTATATTTGTCATTTCACAAGTTTTTATGTAAAAGATGGATGAAAATTGAGAAAAATGATCTTTTCCGCAATGAAATGTGAAAATAAGGATGAAAATGTAAAAAATTAAATCATAAGGAGGTTTTGCACAGTAAAGGCAAATATTAAGCCTTTATATTGTAAACACTCCCACCCCCTTGCCAAACCCAAATAAAAATCTATAAAATAGAAATTCACAACGACAACACAATCTGTTCCCTTTTCTCTGTCTTCTCCGCCGACATATCACCGATCAGCCATCGCTCGCCGGCGGCGCCACCTGTCAAACTCGACGGGAAATCTCCCTGAAGCTCTCAAGAACTTCATCTCTGATCTCTAGCATTTTTCTTCGCCGCACTCAACTAACGGTTGTTTCCTATCTTTTTACATTACAGTCTCTGTTTTATCGGCCATAATTAACTTAAATATTGATATATTGAAAATATATATTTTTTAAATTTTTTAAAAGATTTATTTTGGTTTGTTTGTTTATAGACACTTCACGAGATTTGTATGGCGAGATTTTTCACAGGAAAATGCATTGCGTGCTTTTATAATTTGTCTTCTACTGTTTTTAAGAGCGCACTTGGGGGGGGGGGGGGGGGGGGGGTTGTCTATTTTAGATGAAAAATGGCATTAGAATTGTGTGATTATGTGAATTGTAGCTTGAGTGGATTGATAGTAAATTTTATTCCTTTTCCCCTCCTTCTTGAGCAGATGGTATTCACTTCGCTGTGTAATTTTTTTTATTGTAAGTTATGCTTGTTTCTTCGTTTTCTAGTAGTTTAGCAATTGGATAATCCTTCTCCTGATTGATGTACTACGGGAAATTTGAGGGGGAAGTATAAAAGGAAGAAGGGGATTTTTAAGTTTTTGCGTAGTGTTTAATCCACCATTAGCCAAAAATGAACTTAATAAATTATAATCCTAATGTCGAAAATGTAATGGAGTTAGTAGTAGAATGTTTAAATTCAATACTCATTTTACGGGTTCAGAAATGATATCAGTAAAAAAAACTATTAGATATCAAAAACAAGAAAATGCTTAAATTCCCTTCCATCTGTCAACAAGGGAATGTATGGAACTTTTTAGCTTTTGGCAATGCAAAATGTTGTTTGAAACTGAAAATGGAGATGTAAAACCTTTTTCATTTTCAATTCCGACTCTTTGAGTCCAATTTTATGCTTCCAACTTCAGTAATTGTTTATTAAAGTCAACATTGTATATCTGTTATAGGGATTCAAGATGATCGGGTCTTTTATCACCAGAGGACTAGTGTACGTGCTATCTACAGTTTCTAGTTCAAAATTTTTTGAACTCTCACTGTTTGCATGAGTTTCACATTCTGTGCACTTGTTGTTGCAGGATGGTTTTTGGTTATGCTTATCCTGCATATGAATGCTATAAAACTGTTGAAATGAATAAGCCTGACATTGAGCAACTTCGGTTTTGGTGCCAGTATTGGTATTTTTCGTATTTATTTGTCCTTTGCCAAGCTCTGGCTGCTAGTTTCAGAAGTAATATATCTTCCATCTTTTCAGGATCTTAGTTGCTATGTTGACTGTTTGTGAGAGGATTGGCGACTTGTTTATTTCATGGTAAATATTTTAAAGCCGATAACTTTGAATTTTTTTTTACTTATGCAAGATTTCCTGTTATCAGAAATTTTTAAATTATGCTTGGTTTCTTTGGCCAACATTTATGTTTCTTTGATTGTGTGTGAAGGGTTCCGATGTACAGTGAAGCTAAGTTGGCTTTCTTTCTATACTTGTGGTTTCCAAAAACAAAGGTCTGCAATTACCTGTTGGAATGCTTATGATTTTTTTGAGAGTTCCTTTCTCATATCTTGTGATTCTGTGTTCTCTTCTACTTCAATGATTTCAGGGAACAACATATGTTTATGACTCCTTCTTTAGACCCTATGTTGCAAAACATGAGACGGATATTGATCGTAATTTGTTAGAACTGAGAACAAGAGCTGGAGATATGGCAGTTTTGTACTGGCAAAAGACTGCAAGCTATGGTCAGACTAGGATTTTTGAGATTTTGCAATATATTGCTTCACAGTCAACGCCTCCTCGTCGTGCCCAGGTATGTGGTTTCAAGCTTATAATTTTCTTGTTTCTGCATTTGGCCCTACTGTATTCTACAATGATGTGTGTATTTCAAAAATGCCGGAGAATTGGGTGCTTTGATTCTTTACTTCTGAAAGATAAGCTTAAGTCGAGATACAAGTGGATAATGATATATCATATTCTTGATAAATTATGTAATTTTGAATTTGGATCAAATCACGTGTAGCCCCATATTGTCATAGTCTAGCTTCATAGAATGAAGGACTCGAGAGTACAATGTGCCTAGACCTTTATAGAAAGGGGTTCTCCTTCCTCTCTCTATTTTCTTTCTTATTAATAAGGACAATATGGCAAGGCTCTTAGGGTCGAACTGAAATTGGACTGCCAATGACAAAGCACTGAATTGGTCTTCTTTTGTTCAAAATTGTTGATTATTTATTCAAGTCATAACATGTATATCGCTATGAATTACTTTTGAAAAGCTTTTAATTATTACTTTTGATTTCTTGTGACGGGGCCAGTGATATGGTATGTATGTTACTTTTTTTTTATTTTTTTTGTAAGTCGTTTCATTTTTTGTAATTCAATAGCTTTTTTCATTACTTTTCGAAATGAAACTCTATTCTTTAATTGTCCAATAATGGATCTACTACCAAAAATTCAATGCGTGACTTCAGGATTCAATATGTATCATTTTTCAATTATTCAACCATTTCATTTTACCAAGTTCAAGGATCACAAATCCAATCAGTTTACCTGCAGAGTGCTTGGACCATGATAACCCATCTATGGCTGTTGGGTCAAAACTGTTTTCATTTTCATCTTCTTTAAAATTAATTTTCTGCCCTTGAATTTGAAATCTCTTTCAGTTGCTTCTGAAATTGCTTCCCTCCATTGAAATACTGCTGATTTCTCATTTCAGCCGCAACATCAAGGTGCTGGAATCCACCAACCTACTGCCCCCACAAATCAAATATCAACGCAGCCGCAAAATGAACAACCCCCCTCTCCCGCATCCAGTACATCAAGTCAGCACCAAGATGTGGCAGAAGATGAAGAGCGTTCAGAAGCTTCGAAAGAAGCTCCTCCTCCTGCAGTCTTGAATGCACAGAAAACAATACCAGCACAAGCCCATGTTGAGAGCACCAAAACTCAGAGCTCTACTGAGGAGCAAGTGATGCTGATTGATTCAGTACCTCCCTCAGCAAATGAACCTTCTCAACCTCCACAAGATCTGGTCGTGGAAGAAGCTGGACGAGTGACACGGGCAAGGTCAAGGAGAACACGTGGTGGATCAAATTCGTTGAATGGCAAATTAGTTCATTCCAGGTCTCAGTAACGTGTTTCTTGTCATCAGGCAGTAGGGGAATAGATGATTACTGGGTTGTTGATGTTAATGTACATTCGTCTTTTAGACTCACAATAGTTTCATTGCTTGTAGACTATAAAACAATTACAAATGATTTGACATCTCTTCTGCAGCAGATCTTTTTCTTGTCTTTTGACTTTGACAAGGTTTTGTCAATCTAAAGATTGGCACTACAGCTTGTCTTTTCATTGTTGGTTGAACTCACCTGTTTGGTGCACATTTTCTGCCACATTTCAAGTCAAATTCAGGCCGTTATACAGTGTGTGTGTGCAAGAGAGGGAGTCGTTTTTTTACTACATTCAGTAAAATTACCAATTTTCCCCCTCACATAAAATTCATTTTGAAACAAGTAATGGCAATTCCGTCTTTATACTTCCTGTGCAGTCAAAATCTCTGCACAATTGGGTCCCACTACCCTTAAAATGGTTCAAAAATGTATTAAATTTGGGCCAAAATGTCTCCCAGACAAGGGCTATATAACTATATTGACATAAATAAATCCTCCCAAAATATTATTCATTAAAATGATATATAATTAATTTAAGAAAAACAGTCAAAACTCTTAACAAACATAACCCACGAGCAATAAAAGTTTGAAAAATAAGGAAAATATTATATAAATAGTAAATAAAAAATAGTCCTCTTTGTTAGATCCATCTTTTTGGATTTGACCCAAATAAATAGACATCAATCCAATTCACAGTTTTAATTGAACTTACTATTGGGCTGGCCCTTCACTTGATCCTACAAATTTTCAGCCTTATGAAACACATTTTTGGATCCTCTTGGGCCATTACATAAATTACCTGAAAATGAACAAGAATTATCAAATATTTGGAACCTGTTTGGTATGGATTTTGATTTTCTACAGTAAATCAATTCTCATTTTCAACCACACATTCTTCAATGAAATAATATTTTCCAATACATCAATAATTTTTTCTTCTTTTTCAACCCCACATTTCCCATCATATCACTATTCAAAAATCAATTCTTCCCCCAAAAATCCCTACTAAACACACTCTTGATACAAGAAGTAATTATTAGTGGCACCTCAAGTAAAATATTTGCTTGTTTTACATGAGAATTGATCTCCTAAGCAATAAGCTAAGCACCATTGATACATCACATCAATTAATTGGTAAATCAGTTCATAATAGGTCATAAGCATTAAATGATTTACCAACTAACTGATATGTAATGTCACTATTTTATGCTAAGAAATGTGATGCTTACGAGATCATTTCTCTATATATTATTTATAATTTTACAAAATTAACGTTGTTCGATTCTAATAAGTGGTGAAACTTCAAGGATTTAATTACTCATTGCAAGGACACATTGTGAAGAAACCTTAGTGGATGTCAAGAGTAAATAATCGTCGCCAAGAACGTTTTAGTTATTGCATTTTAGATTCTTATACAAGATTGGAATCATTTAATGACACCAAGTGAACTAGATTTTCTTTCTACAGAAGCTTGATTGTGAATTTTTATACGTTAAATATGCTTCTTGTGATGGTTTGAAACAATAACTCCATTGTAGATTTCAAGGCACGAAGCTCTTCTTAAGACTATATTTGTCCTTCCCCAAAAATGTGCACAAAAGTAGTGATAGAGGATTATTTGGATTTACCAGTTAGACATGAGTTTGGTGACCAATCTAATGAGCATGGTGGAAGATGAGATAAGATATGTGTTTTTGAGGTGCGAGCTACACGGAATGGAATATGACAATGGTGAGATCATTTCGTATGGTCATTTATGCATTTGATACAAATGTGTTAACCATTTGATTGATTAACTTGATGTTAGTTTGAGATTTTTTGTGATCATGTTTGAAAACATCAGTGTATTATCCTATATTATATCTACATCACATGCTTATATGCTTTTTGATTGATTACTGTGATTACTTTTTCCTATTTTGTCGTTTATTGACTTTAGTCCTAGTGAGTACATAGAGCAAGTATGTTATATGTTTCAGGTTCGAAATACAAGGTAAGATCTGTGATTTCAATTTTATTTTGTTGCCTTGATTATGTAAGTATAAACTTTGTGTTTTTGTTGTTTGCAGATTGATTGGGTATCAAGGTAAATATTTGTTGTGTGACATCCAATAAATACCAAACGATGATGTTAAACAGTCGGATTAAATTTCGCAGGCCTCGATCGATGGGTGAATTAATCATCAACAACCAAGTCTAAAGGCTTGATCTGAAAACAACATGGGCTGTTAGAAGTAACGTAAGGAATTAATATTGTAAATTTTCACAAGTATGTGGCAAATTCACAACTCAAGTAATAACTAATTAATTAAAAATATTTTGTTAATTAAATATAATAAGGTCATAATTATACAATTAATGGTCACAAACGCGCACTATTTTTTTTTAGTGGAAGGAGGGCAATACCTCCGAGATTTTATTGATATGTCATCGCTTGTGACGGAGGAATATCGTGATTACAAATGATATCAATGAAATCAATAAATGAGGAAGTGCTACTTCCCTCACAGTAAAAGTTAGTATCCCATCATGAATAGCCCTGAGTTCCGCCTATAATATCATACATTGTCCATGTGAAGTTGAGAAAGCCCTGATACATTTTCCTGCGTAGTCCCTGATGATGCCTCCCCTACTCGCAAACCCATCCTTGACACAACCATCGATGTTGATTTTGACAGATCTAAATGATGGAGTACACCACCAAACCATGATATAGGAAGGAGATGGGGGGAGAGTTAAAAAAATACCAAAAAGCATAGCAAGTTATATGTCTTACGCCAATGTAACGGTATTAATAGTCCACCAATATGGAGGAAGGATACTATACTGTAAACTCTCCAAATAATACGTCTCGAGCTCATACGTATGTTCCCTTTGCTTTGCATTATTCCTCTCAGTCCAAAGAAACCAGAAAATCAATAAAGGAATAATGATGCGAATGTGTCCGATCCTTGTAAACTAACTCATGGTAATCTGAAATAAAGCACGAAAATGTTGCTAAACGTGATCATAAATACTGCTACCAGTAAAAATATGAGTAGTGGTCTCAATCTCTGAACAACACTGACATCGAGAAGCCAACTGACTGCATATCATCCTCTGTATAATGACATCAATTGGCATTAAGTCTTGTCATAATCTCCAACAGAAGAACGAAATAGTAGGAGGTACGATAGGGCTCCACAGTAGGCGAAATGAATCATTCACTAGCCTACTAGAGCGGATTAGCTGTCATGCTGATTTAGTATTAAATCTGCCATCGGATGTGGCCCTCCAGAAAATGTGATTTGAGACATCAAGACATAGTGGAATGGTCGCAATCTGCTCTGCCATAGCTGATGGAAGAGCCGTAGTAATCGTCCAAAATCCCATCCAGTCTCCTCGAAAAAGTCCGCACCATCGCAGATGTATGCTGTCGGTGTGGGAAAATGGATGCCAATGTGGAATCACCCATCCAACAATCATGCCAAAAGAAGATCTGTCCTATCCCAAGGTGCCACGCAATGTGTGTCTCAGCTCATGGTCCAAATCTCTCCAGTCTCTTCCAAATAAGAGAGACCGAGTGAGGAATTGCTACAAGCTACGGATGTGTCCCTCTACAATATTTGCTTAGTAAAAACCGAGCTCAAAGAGAACTCTGACACCTGAACAACCACCATAGCTTCAATGAAAATGTGTCCATCGTATCCTGTAATTGTCTAAAGCCTCCCTTGTCAGCAGGAAGGTAAATCGCCTTCCAACTACGCCAATGTAGAAGACACGCATGATCCTTAGAATCCCATAGGAATCGCGCAAATATACTCTCTAGCCTTTTCAGAATGACCTTAGGAGGTCGCATAATCTGGAATAGATACAGTGGTATAGAGGAAAGAACAGACCTCAGTAGAGTAATCCTACTACAAGGAGAAAGAAGGCGTGCAGCCCATCCAGAAATCATATTCCTGGCCTTCATAATGAAATCATCATACAAAAAGCTACTCTAAGTCCCTTTAAACAAATGGACTCCCAGATATGTGAATGGTTGTCTCTGATGTGAAAATGCAGTCAAAATCACTATCCTCCGTATCTGAATATCAGATGCATGCTTAGGCAATATAAGACCACTCTTGTCTCTATTCACCAATTGGCCAGAGACCCCTTCATAGTGCTCCAAACAATCGATGACCCATCTGATAGACTTCTTCTTCCATTGGTAAACATAATCANATAGACTTCTTCGTCCATTGGTAAACATAATCATATCATCGGCAAAAGCAAGATGAGAGACAAAAGTACTACATCCATGTCGATATTGCATACTAGGATATGTCTGAAACCTTTGAGTAAGCAATCGAGAAAAGCAATCTGCAATAATAATAAATAAAGATGGGGAAAGATGATCTCCCTATTGAGTCCCCGCGATGAATAAAAGAAACCACATGGTCGCCCATTCAGAAGCACTGCGAATCGATACTTTGATATACAACGTCTGATTGGATCAATCCACAACGGGTCAAAACCAAACGCCTCAAGAATAGAATAAATGAATCCCCAATCCATACGATCATATGCTTTATCCATGTCAAGTTTCAGCATAACATTCTCTCCACGCATTCTATTATCCAACGTGTGTAGAAACTCCTGAGTCAACAAAACATTGTCCCTAATAAGTTGATCAGGGACAAATCCACTCTACTGAGGGGAAATAATACAAGGTAGATAGGATAAATCAACTCAATCTGTTGTTCAACAACTTTGTGATAAGCTTATTAAACACCATACATAGGCTGATAGGTTCCATCTACAAGCATTCACCTTCTTCGGAAGCAAAATAATAGACGTAGCAGCAAATCCTCTCGACAAATGACCACCCTCAAAGAAATCAATGACTGCATTGTGTACATCATCTATAATATCCCAACAGTGTTGGTAGAACAAAGATGAAAATCCATCAGGGCCCGCAACACTATCAACATCAATACTG